AGAGAGTGGAATATCCATGTTTCATACAGTTCATATTTTCCACAGAGTCCTAGACAATAACTACGCAAAATTTGATGCAGATTAGTCAAAGAATTTAGGAGTGTATAGGAAATATACAGACAGACGTACATTCTATTTTATATACAGGGTGTCTCACACTCTCCTCCGGAACGTAGAACAAGTTGAGGTGAACATAAAAGTCCTATACCGTTTTGCGATATTCGCAATAATTATCGAGATATTAATTGTAGAAAACTATATTCAAAACTATATTCAAAACAAAACAAAAAAATTCACGAGTCAAAAGCGCCGTGGTCTAAAATTAGCTACGAAACAAAATGAAATGAGTTAAAAGTACTACGAGGACAAAATCATATTTCCTACTCATTTTGTTTCGTATCGGGGACAAGACTATATTGTTTCCGACACATAGTTTCAATTCCTGATACGAAAGTTTTCTTCTTTATCTTCGTTTTGTTTTAAAGGCAAAACTAAATAGACTGCACACGTGTTTAGTTTTATTCCTGGGGTTTATTCCTTAGAAATTTTTCTCGACTTTTGTTTTGCTTGTCATTCTTGGTCCATTAGTCTAGATAGATTAGGTAAATTAGGTCTAGATATTAAGTCAAACTGAACAAATAAACCATTCTTCTACCACTTTGCAAACAACCATGTAAGATTTCGAAATATTAATAAGAGAAAATGAACGAATAAGAAGCGATCTTAAAATATAATGAATATAGTGGATGTAACAGTGCTCATATTTTGAACATTTGTTATGATTTTGAGCAAATCTTTTTTTTCTATTCTTTTTTAAATTAATTTTAACTTAATTAGTTCAATTTTGTTTCACGCGAAATCATTATCTTATTGTTTGAATAAAATTTTATCTTTCACGGTTCAAATACGTTTTCTTCGAAAATCATTTGCTTTTTCGAAATGAAACAAGAATATTTCTTTTAAGTTGTAAAGAATCTAAAAAAGTGTTTTAAAATTGAAATATCCTACTTATCCCAAAGTTTTGATAGTTAAGAAACTTAAGGTTGGTTTCCTTCTTGGTTCCCTAACGTAATATCAAAAAATGCATCATACCATCCTAGTAACCTATTTAATATAAAAAAATACAAAGATTATTAAAAATCTGATGAGCAATATAAAAGTTATTTTTAAAAATGCTTCTTAGATTCTAATTTCGGAGAATATCTCGGCAAGAATGTGGTGTAACAAAAAAATTTACATGAATTTATAGGGCCATTTTTATTTGACCTATACGTTTCTAAGAAATTGTCTATCGTTACTGAAATACCTGTACACACACACACACACACACACACACACACACACACACACACACACCGCGTGTGTGTATACGCGTATCCACACACAGAGAGGTCATCATTATCAGAGATCACAATCATAGTTGTAGGAAAGAATAAAAAGAAAGAAAATTTTCTTAACATAAAAAGAAATATAAAAAGAAATCTTTAGAAAAGTATACTCTAATTATATAATATATATTGTTTTCCGTAAAGATAAATAATTATTAGGAAGCATTAAATATTAGTGCAATTTCAATGAGCTTAAATTGTGCTATTTATACATAAAATGGAAATCTTACATTTAACGTCACATTTCTTTCTTTTTTTCCAAAATAAACGTAACTGTAAGCTAAGAAAAAAGAACACATTCCGTGTAAATACAGAAAGTGTAATTGAAAAGAAAAGAGCTTTTGATACAAATAAAGCAAGTACTTGCAAACTGAATGACATAACGTGTAGTCACTAAGAAAAGTTCGTATCAAATTTGAAGCATTTATAGTATTAATTGAATGATCCTTTCAATTTCGACATATTATATTAGGTATTTATATCCACGTGGAAGGTTTTCACTGACGCTTCTTATATCGTAAGATTTTATAACATCAGTAAACAGTTGCGTAAAAAAATCTTTTGATCCATAAATTGTATCCAAATATATTTTATCTATTATACTAATTAGTATTAAGAGATTTTATTACGATAACGTCTGAGGAAGCTCCGAAATCCACGTCAGAATCACATAGATTTTTGACGTTTGCGAAAAATGATTAAGTATATTTCAATATACACTCATTATTTGTATTTGCGCATGTTTGCGTATTAAAAACTATCACAAATACATGTCAATCTTTTCATGAATTTATTTCCTCGTACCGCAAATTTGCATGTCTTCAAGTTTCAGTTTTCTATATTCAAAGTTAAATACGTTTGCAATGAAACGTGTCATATCTGACTTGTATGTACACTCGTGGTCTGAAAGGTTTGTGCACCAATTTTCTGTAGATTTCGGAACGCGTCCCAACTTCAGGAGAGAGACAACCACTTCTTGACACGCCATATACGGTATATACCATCCTTCTGCTCTCGTAATAAGTGGCGGCGCTGGCATGCAAGCAGTGATTCGAAATCTACAAAAAATCGGTGCACAAACTTTTTAGATCACGAGTGTACATAGTATGCGGTATCTAATCAACATCTTATCAACAATCTAATTTTTTATGAAATATCGTATATCAGAGGAATTTGTATTTGACATTTTCCTGTTTAGTCACTTTCAAAATACTTTCTTTTTAAAGATTTCAGTACTAGAACTATTATCTTAAAAAAGAATCTTGTCAAGATAGAGTACTGATAAACCAGAATTGTAAATGTCTACTACGCTGACACAGCCACTTCAGCACAATAGAATGCGTGCAAGTCTTTTTTTGATTCCAAAAGATTTGAAATTTTTGGTGGTACTTTTTCTAAATTTATAGTCTAAATTTATGTATTTTTATATTCAATGGTATCTATATTAAATATTACAGATCCTGAAAAAGTATTCAGTGTAAATATAAATTACACTTAATGTTTAGGTATGTCGCATTCTGTTGTACTAAAGTGGTTGTGCCAGCGTAATAGACGTTTATAACTCTAATCTATCAATACTCCTATTTTGATAAGATTTTTTTTAGACAGTTCTAGTACTGAAATCTTTAAAAGGAGAGCATTTTGAAAGTCACTAAACAAGGTTGTCAAACACAAATTCCTTTGATATACGATATTTCAAAAATTAGATATATATCTCCGTTTTTCATTTTTCACTTATTTCCCTTTGTGGCTATATTACCTTTAATCCTAAGCTAGCATAGCAATTGTTTTTAGTAAATCAGCTGGAGCACTAAAATAGGAAATAGAGCACTTAATTAGCACTAAAAAAAGCACTTAATTTTTAGGTATATCGCATTCGATTGTGCTAAAGTGGCTATACTAGCTTAATAGGCATGAATTGTAAAGAATATACAAGAATATTCAAGGAATTTTAAAATTTTGAGATTACAAAAACTTTTCATTCATTTTAAATATTCCAAATAATTTATTTCGAATGTTTTTAGAAAATATCTTAAATATTTTCAGCTTAAACACGATATATTTTAATATACCGTGCGCGTTATCGCTACAAAAACTAATTAAAATGTGATTTTACGCTTATTAACTGCTTAATCGAAGGAACTAGTTAATTCATAATTTACTAAATGACGAAAAGTTAGATAATAAAGTTAGATAATTGTACACGCACGGAAAGAACGACGATAACGTTCGTTTCCTTGTTCCTACAACGGGAAAGCATCGCGTGCAACTTTACACGTTTTCTCCCTTTTCAATTATATTCGACTACTCCGTCTCTGATTCATAGATTCAGGTCTCTGGCTTCAGGAATTAACCGACTATCACATCCTCGAAAAGCACAAATATCAAGTGATATGATATATTAAATATGAAGATAACAAAAAATAAACAAGGAAAAGTGAATAGTACGACACAAATTCATTATCAATTTATTTATCCAAGACGAGAGCTCATTATTATACTAGATAGTTTGCATAGTGATCTCACATTTATAACATAGAGTCCAATATCAAGGAGATTTTGTTCAATTGTTTGAGAAGAGTCTAGAAAACAAAAGAAAGTAATTTTGTGAGTAAAAATAATAATCAATAATTTTATGCTTATGAGTTTCAAGTATTTTTAATAACAAAAGAAATATATATATGAATAGAGAGAGAAAAGAGAGAGAGAGAGAGAGAGAGAGAGAGAGAGAGAGAGAAAGAGAGAGAGAGAGAGAGCTTGAAATATTAGCATTGTTAGCATAAATAGAAGCATTGTTGTAACCTTCCACTATTAAAACTAGCTTCAATCTTACTTGCTTTCAAAATACTTTCTTTTCCTTCTTTCTTCCGCTATAGAGGATTGGAATGTTCGAAACATTTATAAATAAAATTAGCAGGATTTTGTTTGATGGTTTATATTCTGTTGTAATTTATTAAAACGATAGAAGCATAATTTAGAGCTTTTACTAGCCTTTACTGTAAGCAGTAAGAAACACAAAAAGTATAAGAACATTAATATCCGATATAGTGGTAGTTTAATTTCTGATATCTTCTCCTCCCCTCTTCCCTTTCCTTCTCTCCGTTTATCATTTCTTCTCTTTCCCCCCCCCCCCTTTCTCTCTCTCTCTCTTTCTACTTTCAGTGGTAGGGACAGTTATAGAAGTATTCTTATAACTTGCCCCTAAAAGTCCAAACTCCGTCTCTCCTATACCAGACAAAAAGAAGACAGAGAAAATGGTTACGTTTGCACTAACAAGTTTGACAAGGTCAGACTTAGATAATACGAGTCAACCAATAGTGAAGTCTCGAACGTCGATAAAGCTCGAGAGTGACATTCCGCAAGAATGCATGGTGCTATTTAAGCACTCACTGCGTCTATTTTTCGGCATATAACGTAGTCATAGCCGACAGACGACAAGCTACTCGCATCACGTAGCGCTGTAACCATCACCAACAGACATCCTCCGAATATTTGTAAAGCATGTCTGGAAACAAGCAACAAGATAAAGGTAACAATAACGCGAGTAGCAAGACATAATTCGTTGATATATCTTGAGGCAAATCAAAGAAGCGCGTAGTCATCATAATAGAGAGAGATAGAGAGAAAGTGTATGTGTGTGTGTTCGGAATTTCTGTCGAATATTTACTTATAAACATGTTCGTGCCACGTATATATCTCATAACGCCGCCAGCCTAGTAAGACTATTATCTTTCACCGAAATGTATAATATTATCCTCGACGAGGAATGTCGCACGCGTATTCTCGACAGTGAATTTATGCATAAGTACGAAAGTGTGCAAATTGAAGATCGGTTTTAATCTGCTGAGATAGAAGACTGGACGCACGTGCTGCTTTTACTTTACTGATTTTAAACGGACGACATTCGAGACATTGACGAAAAAGGCAAAGTGAAAAAGAACCCGTGAAAAATTCGCCACGTGGAAATTATTTTAACTGCGACATTAGAAAGGCTAAGAAGTGTTGTCTGTCAAGTATATCACACACACACACACACACACACACATACCACGCCCTTTCTGATTATCGTATTAACGTGAAGATAGAGTTAATTAGCGACTTCGGACGACTTTAAGATAGAGAATAAGACAAAAAGGGTGACGTAAACTAAATCTAACGAGAAGAAACGTATCAATATGGCGTTCGCATTGACGTTGCCACTAGTCGGTCTAGAGCCGAGAAATTTTAGTGCATTAAGTACTAGGCTTCGATGTGAAACAATATATGAATCACCGTGTGTTTCTGAACAAAATTCTCCAAACACCATCGACTCCAATGAAGCCGGAACAAGTGGTTACGCAGCATATGGATCTAGGAGTGACCAGAGGGCATCGCAATTGAGCTACTCCGCCGAGATCGAACGACAACGAAAAGAAAGGGTAAGAAAGGGCACGAGCGTACCACATCAACGCGAATAATTCAAAGCGCGATGCAAAACGAAACGATATATCTTTTCAGGAAAGTAAAGATCTGCGAGTCATGCACCAAGGCCGTAACATATTAAATTTGGCAGCAAACATCCGTAATCCAGTATGGAACACGGATGAAAAGCTACGTGATTTAAAGTCAAATCGCTCGATTGCCCAACGGTTGAACGAGCAACAGCGTACCGAAGACCAAACATCGGTATGTATACACAACGACCTTAGCATGTGAAAAAAAACTGCTACAGAAAGTCGTCATAAAAATTAATATTTCCACCTGATCGGCAATAAGTCTATTGCAAATCGTAACACGGTGCAATAATCGATTATTGGGCGGGTAATATCAACTTTAGAATTTGGAAAGTGTTACATTTCTTGCCCTTCAAAATAGCTAAGCATAATCAGCATAAATGTGCCGCAATATTACACTGAGAGAAATTATTCGATAAAAAATTAATAAACGGATATTTCCGATCAAATTCCGGTCAATTTTTATATCGGATCAGGATATCCAATTAAATTTAATCGGGTACTTTCGATCATAATGACATTTTATCAGATAAGCCGATTAAAAAATTATGAACTGATATTTTTCATCGGATGTTTCCTAATCGGATACAAAAATTTATCGGTATTTTGATCGAAAATATCAGTTTGTTAATTTCTCTCAGTGTACGCATGTATACTTCACGTAAATGCAAGAACACGTGTCCGTTGTACACAAACGCGTTTGCAAAAAAATATTTTTCGTACGTATTTCGAGCATGTCTCCAATGAAAGAACACATCTTATAACACTTGCTCAAAAACATATTCTCTCATTCGGCTTGAACTTCAGCTGCATTTCAAATTCTATCAAAAAAACCTATTCAAACAATCTTAAAAACGAAATTCTTGATTTTATTAATACATTTTTAATGGCTTATTGCACCATCGCAACAATTAGACTAATATCTAACAAAATTGACACGCGGGTATGTGTAATGATGTCACTCGTAACAGGTGGTAATACGATAATGTGATGTAAAAGCTGTGACGTCATTCATCAAAATGTTCAATATTAACCATTGGACATTAATATAAGAGTTAAGAGCTGAGGACAATAAAAGAAATAAGGAATAGGGAATCGAGAATAGAGAAGACAGGAAACACAGATAATAGGGGACAGTTCAATATTAAAACATAAAATCTAATTCATCAACGCAGAATAGAAGAACAGAGGAATAGCGTTATTTCTTGTTTTCAGTATTCCTTATTCCTTTTATTGTGCTCAGCCTCTTGCTTTAACTCGTAGCGAGCAATGCATGCACGAACCTAGATAGTTGCCTTGCGACGAGATATACAAAGTGTATGATAATCCGTTATGTAACCGTGAATAGAGTGCGAGTAGAATGAGTAAAAATAATCAGAAAAATTACGTACCATTTTGTAATTTTCACAATATTTGCTCCGTAATTAATTGAAGCGAAAGCCAATGATAGATTATGTAGACATGTCTAATGAAAGATGACTCACAGACTTCCAGTCTTAGCTTACTTCTAACGATTTCTTAACGACGGTGAATAATAGCTGATTTCGTGAGATGAGTGTAACGCGACGAGCAGCGGGAATGAGTGACACAGAGAAGGCTGCGCGCCAAAAAGAGCGTGTCTGCATCGCGCACAGTCATGCATCAATCTTTTTTAATTAATAACTAAAAATCTACGTGGTCATTTCCAAACGTGGTAGAGGACTTTTTATTCAGTTTGATTTAATGTACAAGCACACATCGGCGGTGCCCACGACAGATCGCTATCATAGCTAATCTACTGTATGGCGCGTAATCACACATTCATGAATCTTGTTTAATTAATGAAAATTGTTTAATTATTTGCAAAATTTTGCATAATTATTCGTGAAATGGTGGAAAAATTTGTGTTTAGTTTCATGAGTTCTGCACACAACGGTTACGTCATGAATTATCAGACACCCTGTATAATTTTATAATTGTATATATAAATTTTGTAGTCATTATATGTAAATATTTAATAATATTTTTTTTTAAATACATCATACTAATATTTTATTGAAAAAAGGATGAGGGAGGATTCAATAGATAAGAATATCGTAATAAAATCATTCTTTTTAAGTCTTGGTTTTTGGTTGGCATTATTCAATCAACCAATATGCATCTACATATACAAGACTTGTTCGGATGCTGAAATCTACTATTTCTCCTTCTTCCAATTTATTTACATTAGAGTTTTTTTTTGTTTTATAGTAATACTACTAGTATTAAATTACGAAATTTTACAATTATATTTTAAATTAGCTTTAAATTAAAGCTTAATAATTTTAATGTTTTTTTGCGTAATATCCTTGTTTTATCTATTAATTATAGTAACTTTAAATTAAAACTCAGGATATTTGGAAGTTAAATGTAGGATATTAAAAGCATATGATATATAAAGAAATATATATATATATAAAACGTCAAATTTAATTGCAAATATTGCCATATCTTGATGGTCAATCTTTTTCTAATTGTGCAAGCATCCAAATGATATTTCAATCAATGTGTAATCTGAGTTATAACGAATACTTGAGAGATTCACGAAAGAACTACCGTACAATATTTGTATTGAATTATTTAATTCAATAGAAGACGCGCTCGGACAGATTTCTCAAATAAATATAATTATGAAAGGGCTAGATCTCTATATTTTAGAATTTCAAAGTTATAACTTCTCAGGCAGATTGATGATGATGCGCAGCGTCACCATCAATAGATCTGGGGATCAAAATTGATATCGCCATAATTATTGACAAAATGGTAAAGGACTTTTTCTTTCAATTTGATGAATTTTGCTTTACACGAGCGGACGTATACGAGTTGTATTAGACACCCTGTATATACATTTGATAGAATCACGACTTATGATGTTTGTGTATTTCGCGAGATATCCGTTGTTCTTTTGTGGTATCTAAAATCTGTATAAAAGGAAGGTCACGTGTCGTTCAAGACGTAGACTAAGTGAGACATATATACTGTGTCATCCTTTAAATTAAACGAGTTTTTCTTATGTGAATTTAAAGAGGTTGTAAGGTAAAATGAGTTTTTATTTAGAATTCATTCAAACTTACACTATATATATATATATATATATATATATATATATATAT